TAAATGATAAATGTAATTATACAGATAATGATATGAAACCTTGTAATAGGTACAGTGTAATGTTTTAGTAACAAGGTGGTGTCTACTGCATGTTGTCTTATACGTTTATTATTGTGTTCTTGTAGGGTGTAAGATTCTTCCAGCTAGTCTGATGTCCACAAATGGAATAATTAAAAGAATGGAAACCAAGAACGTGTTTGTTGTAACGCCTCTGCCCAAATCCCATCCCTGTTTCATACATATTAATATTATAGCCATACTAATACAATGTAGCCAGATTTGCCAGTGCTCCAGTACCTGTCGATATGACCATGAGAACATACCTTTTTTTATTTTATCAAAGCTGTTTGGAATTTTTACTGTACATTGAGAAATTTGTAGACATAAAAAAACAAGGATAGTAATATACAAATGTTGGTTCACCCCTCACTTGTTCTGATACTCAGCTTGAGTGTGATTGATTTCTGTTAGACCGCAAAGGTTTTACTCACATCTCCAATGCTCTGAGCAGATATTTCCGTCTCCTCGACATAATCTGTGACTTTTTCCAGATCTGCCGCCCCTGAGTCATGTTTCTTGGTCTTCAGGGCTTTGTTTTCCTCCTCAACTTCGACACCTTCCGTCTGATTATCCTCCGGGCCGGCCATCTTGAAACACGTGTGAAGAGTTCGGAAGAAGGGACTTAACTCGTCCAATAGAAATAATTGCCTACCACTGAAAAAAGGGTTTCATATTATAGAGCGACATTATAATAACATACTGCACGATCATGGTTTGATAGCCATGCAAAACACACGTCAACATGACATAGGGACACAAGTATATGTACGTTTCCCGTTGGCTCATGATTTTGTGAAGTAATTAGCAATGATCAAAGTAAAATAATTATAATTATGATAAAAAAAAGAATAAAATAAATGAAAAATTAAAACAACTAGAAATTCTGTTGAAGATGCTTTTTATCGATAAATAACTATTTGTAGAAGTATTAGCCAAAATAGTTAGTAAAAGTTAGGTTTTGTTTATGTTTTAGATTAAAAATGTAATTAGTATGATCACAAAATTTAAAATAATAGGTTAAATACGTTCGAATGATTAGTTTAAGTAGTTCTGAATGTCATAATCAGTTGATATTCCTTTTTTTCATCTACAAAAATGGCAATGTTAAATAAATAATCATGGATATTCTTTCGATTTCATTCTTTTTTAGCTATGACTACGTGTTCACCATCCTAATGATTTTGATTAGCACATAGTTTTGTTAAGACAGAGACATTTATTCAATTGTACATCTCTGGTTAAGATGGTGTTTTTGGGTTACTCTACAGTTGCCAATTCGCTAAGATGAAATTGTAGGAAGAATAGAGAGCAACAAAGAAAATTAAGATACCAGAAAAGTTTTGGCCCACCGCTTTGCAATAAGAAGATATGCTTCTATATAAACATAGGGCGTGGTTTCTCTCTGCGACGAATGAAATGTTCTGGTAATGTGGTAAAATTCTAGATTTTCCTGTGAATTTGTAAGGGCTGGGATATCCCTTATGTTCATCGCCACCAGTTTCACAGCAAGCTCTACATTACAACCACCTCGGTCCTGAATCCATGGATGGTTATGCAGCAGAACCAAATCTATCTGCAGGCCAAATAAGAGTTATTTCCCTTGAAACGTAGAGTGAAGGAGATAAACGTGCTACAGGGCCGGGGTAACGCCCACTTTCGCTCTCTGCACCCTTGTAATATATATATATGTCATAGCAAAACTGAAGGCACGTGACTAGCTAATTGATAGCATATTCCAGGGGTGCAGAGAGCGAAAGTAAGTGTAACCCCTTGAGTGTTGAGAATGCACAGACAGACTTTTTTTATAATACGAGTCTCTTCAGAGAGTGGTCTAATAACAGGATGTATACTGTAGCTGGTATATACAAAATATATTCCGTTTTTTGGCGTTGTTCCGGTTAAATTTTCTCTACCTGAAACGAAACCGCAAACACCTACCGGGACCGGATTTGATCTTTGAAACTCGGCATACATGTGCATATTATGCTTGGCAGAAACTAAAAGGCTGACTAGCTTTCGGAACATCATTCGCTTTCATGTCTATACTTGAAGTATTTTAATTGTTCGACATATATCCTATCACTGTAACCGACTGAGCTACCTTGTCAAAGGAAGTGTACGTACTAGCCCAAATATGATGCAGTTTTATGCAAACTGACGTTAAAGAGAGGTTTCTGCAAAAGGGATCCTTAAGCAACATTTGTATTTATGTAGTTCACAATCGCAGAAAAATCGCAGAAACTGGTACAGACAGTTCATGGGTTTATATTTGTGTTTGAATGTCCATCCTATGTGAACGACAAAGTTACATTGTTGATTGAATTACGTAAATTAAATCATGAGATAATCTTTATCTCGCTTTTCGCCCAGTTTCAGCATCCTCTCCCTGAGAAGTGGACCGACCAGACCTTCCATGTCGCCATCTGTGTCTGTGGCCTCTAGGTGTGCAACTCAACCTATCTACTTCATGCTGCACTTTGACCTTTAATCTTTGTTCCTCCTGTCGTCTCTCAATATGTGTTATTAGAAGCATTTTGTTTAGTGAATATGTCGAAATTTTAAATAATGTTCATGTATACATCCAGCCCAACAGTTTCGTTACAACGTTGGCTATCTTTTTTTTTGTTTTTACTACCTGTGGTATAGTCCATCATAATGTGTAATGTACAGTCGTCCTTGTTGCACATGTGCATCATTTACATGTAACAATCAACATGTTTCCTTAACTCACAACTGCAAAATAATAAGGACACCTTCCACCTGAAGCCGATAGGTGTCACCACCCTAGGTTTTTTGTATAGCTCCGGTAGCTGCCCGCATCTTACTTTGTAGGACTTCCCCCACGATGATGATAATTTTGTTTGTCTGTTGTGTTTTTACGTCTTCGCAACAGCTACGATCACGAATAATGGGGCGGGCTACCTTAATGTGTCATATCACTCCGATGTCACAACCTTGACACCCTGTCAAATCAATAAATTAACATGTTCTCAGCTTGTTTGGCGAAATTTTACGAGTCGAGTTCAACTATGGCCTCAACCGTTAAAATGGGCATCGAAAGTAAGACGGCCTTGGAAATAGGCCTTACAGTCTAATTGGTTTGAAAAAAAGACGGCCTTGAAAATACGCCGGCTTCGAAAATAAGCCCGGGATTAGGGTTAGGGTTAGATGGTGAATTGAATCCAGTCTGGATTGATAGAGAAGAGTACTTTTAATGTAAAGGATGCCAAGGAGTTAAAGCATAGCATTACCATTGCCACTACTGGGAAATATTTGTCTAAGTTCTCTTCAAAAAAAGCATTCCACAAAATCACATGTCGCGATGCATTTTACAGAATTATATTTCTATTTTTGGAAATTTGAATGATTGAAGATAAATTGGAGCAAAAAAAAGAAACCTGAAGGAGACGAAGGTGGGACCTTTGTCCACGTACTAAACGTATATTGGTCGCCTCCTACTATTTACACAGTTCACTGCTACATTAAGTACTATAAAATACGTATACGGGTTATCGTTCTTGCCAATAAGGAATCACGAAAGTAAAGCATTAAAACGAATGTCAAATTTATGGGCAGCAATGGCCAATTGTGATATTCTTCGGTATATTTTACAATATTAATAATACTGAAATTCCGAAAGTAATGGCCGTCATTTGTTTATTGTGTTGTGTGTACACCGGAAGTGATCAATATTAAAAATAAAAAAACGCTTTAAAAGCAGCATGGATTGTTTTGCTTCGGGACGTCAACCAAACAGTCATTTACACTCATGAAACAAATGTCAGGGGAAGTAACTCTTAAATAGACAAACTCCTTTGGATTGCGTCATCTTATAAATAGAAGGGAGATAAGTCCAAGAAAAAAAGTCTGAGAGGAACTCTTCTTCGAAAACATATAACTGTAGTAGTGGTACTCTTTCCCTTAAACTAAAGTATAGTGAGGCTAGGACTGTCGGACATCTGGGAAGGTTCATAATACTTAATGAGATACTTTGTCAGTAGAACATTTTGACATGTGATCTTAACATGTAGGTCAATCATAATAAAAGTAGGTCACGACAGTAAAACAAGTTCTTCAATCAAACAGTAACTTTAACAGTTCGGATCCCGGTAATATAACCAAAAGTCCATACTGTTTAATTAGACAATGTCGTGAACGTCAGAGGCCTTCGGCGGTACGGAGCATTTTATATTTATTATGCATTTCCACACACACAAAACTCATTGTCGATTCTCCCCGAGCGTCAGACTTGAATGGCATATGTTGGCTCAAATATAACCTGTTTTGGTATTAGCAATATTGATGGTTATAAAAGTCCCTCAAACACAAATATAGTTGCCCTTTCAGCATCATATGTCACTGATATCCTATACACCACAGGCGCTTTTATACAGCTCATACAGCCCTATAGTATATAGACTGTCCATATTAAATACATGCACGTTTTTGGCCGGGCCTCCGCCACTTCTTCGATACTTCAAAACTCTAGACTAGGTTATGTGCAGTGTCTGTGAGTACTAATCCTTATATTGCCTATATTATATTATCTTTCTATTTTGTTTTTGTGTAGTGTTAGTGTTGTGTTTTTCTTTGTCTCGATAAAGGAGTTGGTTACTCCTTAACATTTGGCAAACTCATTTTGTCTACACTGTTGAAAATTTTTCCCTGCCACATATAACATTTTTATGAAACTTGAATCCTACAAACATACGTTGTAAAGATCCAGTATTATTTGGAAATTTATCATTAATATTACTTCTTTGGCCAATATGCAGACTATTTGATATTAGCGCCCTGTGTACATGTACAGTAACGAGAATTGACCAATCTAAGGCAATTTCAAGTACATAGACATACATATCATGTAATCATTGAATACATAAATCAATGCAATGTTGAAGAATTCCCAGGAGCTGCTTTATAAGGCGTTAACAACTAGCCCGTGGAGCAGCGAATAACGTTCTCCCTGATCGGACGTGAAAAGGTATGGGGTCACTCGCCTGATCTCCTGGTACTCCGGTTTCCTCCCACTTTGAGACCTCGGGGGCGCGCTAACATCCGGGCAAATCAGTGTGATAAATATACATGGACGTTGACAAAACTGTTTTCATAATTGGTGTTATACGAATGAAGTTTTTATATTATAACAGTCCTATGTCACCTTGCTAATGTCTCCAGCGTGCCTACAACGGTTTCCCTTTTCAACGCGCCACCTCACTTGTATGCATTGAAGCATCAACCCCGGACTTATGTATATCGTGCTACGACGAGTGGAATAAAAACATGTGACAACTTGGCGAACTCCATTCATGAATGTAAACAGTTGATGGGAGGTCGTGGCTTCTCAACTTTGTAAACATGTAAAATGACTGGTTAGTACCGTATAACCTCTTCGTTTTCTGTGGGTTTTTCTGGTGTAGGAATGTAATTAGTGATAATCGTCTAACTGTCGTTCCGTTGTGTAAAATGTAGAATTAGTCTTCCATTATTTTTTCTTCATCTTCTTCACTTCCTGCCTTCCCTCCCTCCATCTTTCCTTCCTTCCGTCTTCTTCTTCTTCTTCGACGTTGTGACGCTATTGTACAAATGCGGATGGACAGTGATTTTCGCTTAAGACAC